TGCACTGGTAGATGCCCGGAAACTGCAGAATGGGCGCAGATGCTGCCAGGGCACTACAAAGAAAATGATTAAGAACCGTTTCTCGGTAGAACAAAATTGTTACTTACCCAATAACAACATGCGGGTACTTCATTCTGAACCAGGAAGCTAACATTCCTCCATAACTTCCGCCAAAGACCACTACTGGACTCTGGGCGGCTCCTTCGGTTTGCAGCTTGAAGTCAGTCAGAAACTGGGCGTAATCAGCGAGAGCCTGCTCCACAGTGAGGTAGCCTAGATTGGCCAGACCCTATTTTGTTCAGGAAACACAAATTGAAGTACTGTACATTGTTTCAGCAATAAATCAACCTACGGAGAATGAATTGTTTCCGTACGGCATTGTCTGTCCATAGTAACGATGTTCCATGAAGATTACCATCGCATTGAACTTGGGCGCATTCTCCCACATGAAGCCGGTGTTGTTCGCAAATGAGAAGATGTCGCCCTCATTTCCGGCGTAAAACCAGATCGGGCCGTTCGGCTTCCAGTACTGCGTCGAGATGATGTACCGTTGTGAGAAGACATCACTGTTCGAGTAGCTCTGGTGGTCGACCTGAATTGAAAAAAGGTATTGAAGGAATCAGTGGAAGGGCACCAAAATTGCATCACCATACCTTTTGCGTGTACCATTTAACAGTGTAGTTTGAGGGAATCTGGCCACAGACCACTGAAAGGCCACAGGCAAGAAGAAAGACAGACAGCACAAAGTTGGCCATTGTCAACTGATCAGCGAAGACACTGTTTGGACACTAGATCGATTGGTTTAAGCAGTCAGGCAGTGTCGTCGTAGGCAGTCAGAGAGTTGCCCTGCTTATCAGCACATATCACTTCTACCTCTGCTGATAAGCCGAGTCAGTGCTCAAGTGGTGGCTGTGAAATTGAATGAGAGAGTGCTTCGCTTCCATTTGCAAAGTGTCGTTGAAAGCCACTTGAAATATTTAAATATTGCACAGTAGTTCTGAAGTGGTGTTACTGTGGTAATGATAGCACTAAAACGAACATATCCTTGAAATCTGTGCTAAGTAAAAGTCTGCAAAGTTAAAGAGTTTCGATCATCCCGAAAACGTACAGCAATCAGAGTCAGTGTAACAACGTATTTTTCTTTATCAAAAATAAACAAAATATATAAACAAAGTACAAAGAAGACGGCTCTTTGGTGAGTGAATGGAAATGCAAACAGAATAGTAGGCGGAATACCATACACCAATTACTTCTTCTTTAACTTTGGGCTTTGAAGGATTTTCGAAATCGTGTCCGTTGACTTGGCGCTGAAGCAGAGGTACTGCTGGCGAATAAAGTACGCCGAAAAGAGCGCAAAGTGAGCAAAAGAATAGACGCAATTTAGCAGCACGTGGAGGTGTGGAAAACGACTAGGCGGCCTGAGGGTCAGCGAGACAATACTAAGGGTGAAAGCGCCAATGATGGAGACCAGAAACTAGAAAGGTTGAAAATGTTAGCAAAACGCTCATTCAAATAGCAGCAGCAACTTACAATCCAGTTTGTCGAAACGCTGTTGTTTTTCATTGTGTTGTGTCCGATGACAATGTAGATTACCATTAGCGAGAAGTAAGGTATCATTAATCCATCTTTGATCAGGAGGGGTTGAAGGCTGCAGAACAAAAAGAATATGTTAAAGTATACTTCAGTAAAGTTCTGATATAAAATGGCCTAAAAGCAAATCAGAGGTCGCTCTGTCTGTTACTATTCCAGCCATCCAAATAATGAATAGCCAGAAACGAACCTAGCAATTCATTCCTTGCCTAGAATCAGTGCCCCTGCGAAATCATCATATTTGCCACTCTTAACTCCAAGATTCAAAATAACCTCTCTACGTCAAACTTACCTGAAAGTAGCTATAAGCTCAAACCAAAAAACTGCAAAAGGCTCTGCTCTAGACAGCAAAATGAGAGCGCTGGTAACAAAAAGTATGGTCTTCTCATGTACATGAAAGGAGAACATGAAAAAGGCTAATGCCACGTTGACCTGAAATTGGACAATAAGTATAGGATAAAACACTTTCATATAAAACTCACCAAAGAGTAATTGAGCATTAGAATACTGTTTTTACGGAGTAGCATCCAACAGACTGGTAAGGAGACAGAAAGAGTCAAGACGACGCAGAGGTATGCCAGTTGACTTTCGGTGAAAATGTTCTTGACTTTGATCAGAATGGAGATGCAGTACCAGAAGTTAGCGACCTTGTCTTCGTATATGCCTCGATTCAGTGGAAAAATTCGCCTAACGACTTGAAGCGCAGAAGCGGAGCTCGATAAATAAGGCAGCCAGAGAAGTCCAAAAGTGAGCAGGACAGAGACTCCTAAAGCTGTGAATTTCGTCAATTTTAAAAGCAGATTCCTTCCGGCCAGGCACCGGCCGAGGAGATAGAAGAACATGGGCAGTGCGTAGTACAGGGACATTTGCTTGTAGTTCAGCGCCAGACAGAAGAGAACAGCAGCTGAAATGTCGCATTCTTTGATGAGCAGGACAACCGCCCAGAGGAGCAATCCCAATGACACGGTGTTGTATCTACAGAGAATGAAACAATAAATTTGAGCAAATCTACATCAAAAGCCGACTTACTGAAAATGACCATAGTCGATTAAAATGAGAGCGGGAGAAAGTAAACTGAGAAACAAAGTCGATGACTGTAAGATGCCCGAATCAGTGAGCCACAGGGCGAAAAGGGCGCTAATGTAAATCAACAGGTCAGTCGCAAAAACGGTTGAGCGCATAAAAATCTTGTGATGATAACTCTCGTAGCCACGAGAGTCATTCAGTGCAACCCATTCCGGGTTGATGGAACGTGCTCTATTCAAAAAAGTTAACAGGTCCGATCAAATAAAAGCACTTCAAGAACTTTTCCCTCATTCTTACACTTTTCCGAGAAGATAGCTGTGGTAGGCAGTGAGTGGCGGGTAGTCCAGTCCCCAGTAGAGGAGGTCATTCTTCGTACTGTTCTCGTACCACTGGGCGGCCGGCAGGTTGACGGTGATCTCCATCCAGTGCCGTTGCGCCTCAAAATCGCCAAACATCGGCGGCTTGCCCTGACCTGAAAAGGGAGAGAGGAATGTTGACAGTGGAGGAGTTTCAGCGCCAAAAAGAGCACACATACCTGAATGCGGATGCAGCGAGACGATCCATCGCAAAGTCAGTGCCAGCAGCAGGCCGATCATTGCGCCTCGGTCCATCATGGTGGAAAGGAGGATGAAAACCCGAATGAGAATGATGTGCAATGGCGGCAGTCGTGGTCCACGCCGGTTTTGTTGTTGGCCAACTCTCCTCTCTCACTCGGACGGACAGACTGACAGGCGCACAGTTTGCAGCCTCACACACACGCACACATTGGAGTGCAATGAACGTGCCTCCGCTGAGTTGTCAACAGCGGCAGGTCAACGCTCACAGTTCAGCGCGAGAGTTCGCTCACCGATGACCGAAGACGACCTCCGCCCGGCTCAGCCAGCTCAGCACCCATCGCCAGTCCGGGGAGTGATTCTTATTCTTCTTCCTCCCGTAATCTCCCGGGAGATCAATCACTGTGGAACACGTCTTTCTCCCTCTCTCTCTCATTGCCTGCTTCTTCGCCCTACGTCAGTGTATTTCTACCACAGTGGCGCAATAATCAGCAAAGCAAAGTCATCACAAGTGGCGGCGGTGGTGGTGTACGTGAGTGAAGCACTGGTGCTACCTCAGTCATCATTGTTATTCCCTGACGCGGATTCTCTCTCTCTCCCTCTGTACATCGATTGCACCGATCACACCGTACTCACTTTGCGCGCGGCGGCGGTGGGTTGTTGAGTGTTGTTGATTGCGAGTGCTCCTCTTTCTTCAATTAGCCCCAGCACCTCTCTGATGCCTGTCTCTGAGTACTTCCCCACGATGGCCCCTGAAGAAGAGGACGAGGACAGCCTGGATGAGCGAGCCCGCCTGAAGGTGCTCGACGCCAAAGCCAAGGCTCGACCGGGTAAGTGGTGGTGGCCACTGCTTTCAACGGCTACTCTTGCTTACAGAATTGTCTACCCCTTTTAGAACTCGACCACATCGGATGGAGCATCAACAACTACCACAAAACTTTCAAAACAAACCTCGAGCTGGACAACTGCCCGCGCATTGATGTGCACAAGGTCTCGCCGGAGGAGTTTATTGAAAAGTACGAAAAGATCTACCGACCGGTGGTCATAACGGGAGTGTGCAATGAGTGGAAGGCCAACTACAAGTGGACCCTCGATGTAAGTAATCTGAACTTTTGAAGCATTTTGCTAACTGATTGATTGACAGAAACTCGCCAAAAAGTACCGCAACCAAAAGTTCAAATGTGGCGAAGACAACGAAGGCTACAGTGTCAAACTGAAGATGAAGTACTTTGTGCACTACATGACCCACAACGAAGATGACAGTCCACTGTACGTCTTTGATAGCACCTTCGGCGAGGTAAGTGGACTTATCAACACTGAATTGAATCAATGAGAAATTTAAATTTCATCAATCCCTTTGCAGCACCATCGCAAAAAGAAAATCCTCGAAGACTACGATGTGCCTATTTACTTCCGCGACGACCTCTTCAAGTACGTCGGGGAGGACAAAAGACCGCCGTACAAGTGGTTCGTCATGGGCAGCGCCCGCTCCGGCACCGGCATTCACATTGACCCGCTGGGCACCAGCGCCTGGAACGCCCTCGTCTCGGGCACCAAGCGGTGGTGCCTTTTTCCCACCAACACCCCCAAAGAGCTGATCAAGGTGAAGCCGAGCGAGGGTGGCACCCAAATGGACGAGGCCATCACCTGGTTCACTGTGATATACCCGCGAACGCAGACGCCCGACTGGCCGGCACAGTTCAAGCCACTGGAGATCATCCAGAAGGCCGGCGAGACGGTCTTCGTGCCTTCCGGCTGGTGGCACGTCGTCCTCAACCTCGACAACACCATCGCCGTCACGCAGAACTTCTGCAGCTTCACCAACTTTCCCGTCGTCTGGCACAAGACGGTCCGCGGCCGGCCGAGGCTGTCGGCGAAGTGGCTGGAGGCGCTGCGGGAGCATGTGCCCGAGTTGGCCGCCGTCGCCGACCGCACTGATCTCAACCAACCCACCGGCATCGCCTCGGACAGCTCCAGCAGCTCCAGTAGCTCCAGCTCAGAGTCGGAGTGCTCCGATCCGGAGTGCTGTGGCGGCGGCGGCAGCGACAGTCGCCGCAGTCGGGAGAGAGCCGCCGGCAACTCTGGCGGGGAGAGCTTCGGCTCAAACCGAAGCAGCGGCGGCAGCAAGTTCAGACGCAAACGGTAGTGAATTTTCTTCCTTTCTTCCTTTCCTTTCCTCTGTCCGACTAGTTCCTTCCTCCTTCCTTTACTCTGTCATTTACGAGAAGACCATTCCATCCATCTCTCTCATCTCGCCGTCTCATTTGTTACAGATACCGATCTCCGAGCCTGTCCAGCGATGAGGAGGACACAAACAAAGCCGCACCTTCAACCTAACCTTCATAACCTCCATCACCACCACGACACTACCGCGCACACAGTGTTCCACACACACCTTCATATGCACAACATTTGGGGACATTCATTGGTTAACGTTTTAATCATTTTCGAAAGTGCTTATAAAATCGACCCAGCTTTGACTTGGTGACGATCACACTCATCAGCAGGTAGTTGGCATCCTCTTTATCGGCATTACACTCCACCACCGTCGCCTCTCGGTACAGCCACTGATAGTGCTCGCCCCCATTAGGTACCCTAACAAATTGAAAAGAAAAAATTATATTGTTGGTGTTTTCTGGTTTTCTACGAAAATTAAACCTTAACAACGATTTAAAATTTAATTAGAAAGGGTTACCTGATGTCAAACATGAGTCGGTCGGTGTTGGCGATGATCGCCCGCTCAATGGCGCCCTTCAGCTCGTCCAGGCCGATTCGTTCGGTAGTGGAGATGAGCAGGCGATCGCCGTCCTGCTTCGCCAGCNCGCTCAATGGCGCCCTTCAGCTCGTCCAGGCCGATTCGTTCGGTAGTGGAGATGAGCAGGCGATTGCCGTTCTGCTTCGCCAGCTCGCTCTGTTCGCTGCTGCTAATTTTGTCGACCTTGTTCGACACCTCAACCATCGAGTCGATCAACTTCTCGGGCACATTGATCTCTCGCAGTGTACTGTGCACCGTCTCAATCTGCTGCCGCCAGTCAGGGTTGCTGCTGTCGGTGACGTGCACCAGAAGGTCGGCAGAGCAGATCTCGCTAAGAGTAGAGCGAAAGGAGTGAATCAGCGTGGTGGGAATGTCGCTGATGAAGCCGATGGTGTCGATGAGGACTGCCTTCAGGTTGGAGGGCAAGTTGACCATGTGCACGCTCACGTCGAGCGTCGCAAAGAGGCGGTTTTCAGGCGTTAACCGGGCGTCATTTGTCAGTGCCTTGATCAACGACGTTTTGCCGCAGTTCGTGTAGCCCACGATGGCAACTGATGGAATTTGCACCTTCATGCGGTATTGCTTTTTGAGTGCATTGTTCTGGTCAATCTTTTCTAGAAGCTTCTTCAATTTGAGCTCCTTCTCCTTGATCAGCTGTTTCTTGACTTCGAAGAAGGTATCAAAGTTTCCACCAAAACTTGAAGAGATGCTAAATTGCATAAAGTTCTCATCCTTCATGTGGTGCAGATTCTTTCTGACGTAATTCAACTCGGCAAGAGCGAGTTGAAGCTTTGCCTCCTTAGTTGAAGCTCGTTCGCGAAATATCCGAAGTACCACCGAGAAGCGATCGTACACCTATGATATTAAGAGTATTAAACCATGAAATTATAACAAGCAAAGAACTCACTTCAATGCCGAGGTAATCTTGAAAGAAGAAGTGTTGATAAGGTGTGAAAATGTCTTTTGCAAAAACGATGGCATCTGCTTTTGTTTCCAGAACAAAGTCCTTCAGATTCTGCAAATTTGTTTTACCAAAGATGACTTTTGAGTTGATTTTATCAGTTGAGGTGATCTCCCCACCGATCACTTTCCACCCGGAGATGCTTTCAGCAAGTGCAACTGTCTCATCCAGCATAAACTCCGCTTGTTCTTTTGTCTTTTTCAGTGGACCAACTTTCTGTCGAGGCATAATCACCAAAACCGATTTCTCTTTAAAAGACTCATACTGTCTCCTGTACTGCAGAATGTTCTGCATGTAGTCTTCTTGTACGAAATCATCATCGGCAGAAGAATCAGCCTTTTCACTTCGGTGGACTGCCGAACACTTGAACGTTCTCACCAATGTCGTCGGTTTAGGTGAGTAAAAGAAACAAGGGGCAGCTGCTATCTTAGACGACAGCATCCTTTGAAGCATCCATGGTGATTGATAAGAGAGGAGGGAGCGGAGAAGTGAGTGAACTCGCATGATTGTACCCGATTTCATTTCCAGGAAAAGTAGAAAGACCGGCGGCAAAATCAAAACAAAGTCACATGTGTGTAAACACACAATCGAGTTCGACATTCGGCACACCATCGATGTCGAGCGCAATCATCGAGTTTGCAAAGAGATTGCAAGGGAGAGAGAGAGAGAGCCAGATTTGAAACCTGATGCTGCAGACGCTGCAGACAGCAGCAGTGCATCGCGAACAACGTGAAGCACATCAGGAGATGCCTCTCTCACTCCACTGCACATGTACTTGACTCAAGAACAGTAAACAGCGAAGAAGAAGTAAACATGTGATTAGATGATAAAATATGATGTACATTGTCGTTCGCCTCTCTATCTCTCGGTCGAACCATGATCATCTCCGATATTTGTGCAGCTCGCATTGCGCTAGTCTAGTCTAGTCGGTGACTGAGCTGCAGTAGAGCAACAAGCACATCTTCTGCGGGGACTTGCCGAAGAACGACAGCTGCTGTCCATCACCACCGTCATCATCACCACCGGTGTTACCTGCAGATACCTGCCAATGCCACCACACGGCTGTGACCAGGAGGCTGTCTACCCGGACGACTCTCGATACCGCGCCATGTCGGCGAGTGAGGCAGTCCAGTTGAAGCAGCAGTGTGCCCCCTCCTTTGAGTCCATCGGCCTGGAGGTGCACTGCTTCAAGATTGCCTGGTACAATGCGCTGGTGGCGCCGGAATACTCGCTCAACTACCACGATGACACGCTGGCCTTTTTGGTGATCAGCACACCCCACATGTTCGAATTGGCGTTTTTGCCCTTTCTCGCCGAGTTCATCGACCCCTCCACCATGGCGGACGCCTCCAATGCACTGTACCGCGATCCCATTGACCGGTGCATGCAGCACTACTTTGCCACGCTCAAACAGGTGAGCACAAAAATGATGGAGTTTATGAAACCTTAATTTTTTCTACTCTAGGAGCTGTCATCAGCCACTGCCTCGGCCGTCGATGTGATACACGACTTTGAGCTGGAGATGCCCTCTCGCCGGCCGAAGATACTGCTGCAGACGGCGGCGCATGTGTCCGGCGCCGCGTACTACTACAAAATGAACGTCAACAGCAAACAGCGAATGGGCGTGTGCATTCACCCTGCCTACGGCGGCTGGTTCGGCATTCGCGGCGCCTTCATTCTCCGAGACCTCCTCGTCGCCGACCTACCTCTCACCCTGCCGCCTGACGTGGTGCCCACCAAGGAACAGCAGGCAGAGCTGTTGCGCCTCTTCAACGACCACTGGCGGGACATGACTTACCGAAACTGCATTCCCGTCAAGTGCCGCTACAGTCCCTTGCAGGTGCAGTACTTTGCCCTCAAGCCAAAGGATCGAGTGCAGTTCATCAAGGGCACCCTCTTTCCGCTGTTGCAGCCGCACAGCACTGCCGCCTTCTCCTCAAATACTCATTCAATCCAAAATAACAACAACTTGTCTCAATGACGTCTTTCCTCTTTGCTCAATTTAGAATTGCCAAATAAACCCACTTACTTAATAGGGAAGTTCCCCCTCTCTCTCGCACTCTTTCCTCATCTACAAAAAAGGTTAGCATTGCAAAATTGAATTTTAATAGTATCATCATTCATATAAAAATAGCTGTATACAATATAGATTTGATTTGTCACTTGTGTGTGTATGTGCTTGACAAAACTACAAAATTGGATTGCTTTGCGTTGGAAAAGGAAGGAAAGAAAAGTCAAAATGTGTGTACGTTTGGGTGTACGTGTAAGCAGTAGGTAAATGCACCAGTGAAAGAGATAAAAGCAGAAAAAAGATACGAATAAAAGAGATTGGATGGCGCGGCCAGTGGATGAGGTCACAGGTTGGAGACAGATAAAAGAGAGTTGCTGCGATTGCTTCATTTCGATTGAATGGAGAGAAAAACATTGAACCAAAAAGAATATAGGGGAAACAAAAGAAATGCAAAGGATAAGGTGCAGGTGCAGTGTTTGTGCCGGCCGGCGGATTAGGTAGGCGCAAGAGTGGAAAGAATGAATGCCAGTGAATTGTCAATCGAAATTGGAGGAATCGGAATCACAACTGGTAATGAGAGATAGCGAAAAATAAATAGAGGTCAACGGAAACAGGGGTAGTGGTGGCGATGAACAAAATGTGTGTCAAGCAAAAAAGGAAGGGGAGGAGGAAGAGAAAATGATGAAAAAAAGAAGAAATTGTCGAGTATGTACAGAACAAGGTGGGCAAGTGCAGGCAAGTGCAGGCAAAGAAACGATGTGAAAGAAAAAGAGGAAGGGGAAAAGAGGAAGAGGGGAACAAGAAGAAGGCACACAGACACACTGACTTCCGCAACTTGGAACAACAAGAACAAGAACAAGAACGACAGGAAAAACATCAACAAGAACAAGAACAGTAGCAGGAGCAGCAGTGCATGTGTGTAAATGAATGAAATGAGTGAGTGACCAGTGCGCAACTGAACAAGTGTGTGGATGTGTAGGGGTGATGGTGAACCTGAAAAAATGATGGTGAAAAGATGATGGTGGAAAGATGATGAAGAAGATAACAAGGTTTGGGAGAGAGGGGGTGGATAGCGACCGGTAGTAGCAATGCAATTGATACAGAGAAGAAGTAGTTATTGGTCACAGTTCAGTTGGATTGTGTGGAGTTATAGAGGAGGTAAGATGGTCACTGGTTTGAGGCAGAACAACACTGCCCGCACTTATAAGGAGGTGCCGACCGGTGCTGGTCGTAAAGAAGAAGAGATATGAAGTAGATAAGGCATCTTCGGAAAGAGGGAGAGGGTTCACAAGCACCACACTGCTATGTGATTTGTGGATAGGTTTGGTGTGGTGAGAAATGAATTGGGCGCAAATTGGTGAGCAGTGGGTGAGCACTTCTCACTCTTCTTCGGTTTTAGTTGGCTTCAAAGACGAGGAACCGTACACTGCCCGATACGTTCTTCAGTATGTCGACCACCTGGTCGTGCGTGAGGCCGTTCAGTTCGGTGCCATTGACTGCCAGCAGAATGTCGCCCTCTCGCAGGCGGCCATCAATGGCGGCGGCTCCCTTGTCAAAGATCTTCCGCACACAGATGGGCAGATTTCCGTGGACGCTTCC